CCCCATTTTCACCAATACACTGTTTTTATAAGCTTTAAGCTTAGGAACTCTCGCAGTATATAAAACTTACATATCAATTTTCTGATTTTGGTTATTAAATATTCAATATGATTTGTCCATTTTAAGTGCTTATCAATTATAATGCCTAAGTATTTTGTATTTTCTAACCCTTTTAATTCTAACATTTTATCCTCATCTAATTTTATCAAAATACGGACGATTTGCAATTAAACACGGATTGTTAGTGAAAAGGCAATATAATGTGATTTTTTAACATTACGACAACCAACAAAAAACAAAATTTTATCACAACGCGACAACCCAAAATTATTTAACCAATTATGCACTTTGCTGAAACCCTGTTTTACAATTTCTTTTAAGTTGGTCCAATTACTGCCAGAGAAGATCATTACAGTATCATCAGCGTATGATAGTATCTTTCCTTTAATATCAATGCTCAACATCCCGGGTGATTGAAAATTGGCGTCATTCCAGTCTGGCGGTGTTTTAGGAGTACAGAATAATTAGTAAAAATAATTAATTGTTACTGAAAACAGAAATTTCCAAAAAACTATATTAGAAAAACGGCAACAATGTTTTTCAAGATAATCTGCCTAATTAACATTGCATAAATACCTGTTGCTTCGTAATTATTTTAAACTCCGGTAACCATGGATAAATAAAGAGTGACAATAAGATAGACAAGGGTGAACGGTAAATTCAACAAGAATCGTTGAATGACGGAACCTATTTCGAAACTCGTAACCTCAAATTATTAATTTGTTTACAAATTATGAAAACATACATTTGAGTCTGTAACTCCCAACAAGTGCCTGTGTTATCACCATATTATGCACTCTTCTCGAGCAGATTCTCGTATTCGGTTAATTAAGTCCTGCTCAAATTATACCGGTGTTCAGTAATCCATTAGTTTAATGTGATCTTACATACGTGGTCGGAATGTAGCCGGTATTTATTTGGTGCCTGGATAAGTGTTAGTTGTTGTGCAATGTTCTGTGTGCCCCTGAAAGGCTCTGCTGCAATTATGTCCAATACGTGTTTCTCTGTGTCTGGAACCCGAACATCTATTGTCCACTATCTTCCTGGAACCACTCTCCTCGCCCTTTGTTGGCGTGAGTTCTTTCAGCTTCTGGTGTAGCATTTCCCATGAACTAATCGCATATTCGCAAATTCGTGAAAGGAAATTTAAAGTAAGTGACAGTTTGACAAATTATTGTTATTATATATGTTGATGACAAAAAACATAATTGCCGCTTTGACTTTTCATCACAGAATTGTAGAATAGAACTTTTTTAACATCAAAAATTTTCGTAATTTGATGCTACCAATTAAACATGAAATACTGCACAATGCTTAATAACAAAGTTGAAATTCGATTTTCAACAATCTTCTGGAAATTATCGAAAAATGTTTTAAATATTTTTCTCGTATTTTCCAAGTGAGCCCCTATTACCCCTTAAAAGGAATGACGCCAATTTTGAATCACCCTGTATATACTAATGTAAATATACCGTTTTATGTCTTCATAAATCAGTTCTTCCATCATTATCATATTTTCTTCTTCAAGTGCCATATCAGGTCCCCCTGACGTTGGCAATCACTTGGGCGAGTCCTTCTCGATTTTGCGTCAATCGGAATAGTTCCTCTGCGCTGCATTTACTGGTGCATTCACGGATGTTCTTCAGCCATAAAGCTTGTTTTCTTCCCACTCCTCTACGTCCTCCGACTGTTCCCATTATGATCCACAGTAGGGTCTTGTATCGCTATCATCTGAAGACATGTCCAAGAAATGAGATTTTCCTGCATTTAGTAGCAAATGTGTTGCGTCGGCTCTGTTTAGCACCATTTTGTTGGTCTGCATAGCTGTCCAGAGTATTCTCAGCATTCGCCGGTGTAAATGCCGATAACAACGCTTCCAACCGACTAACTGTAGCGGCCTTGATTATGATTATGATAGATTTCGATGTTTTTCTCTTTGATCATTTGTAATAGCTTCGTTGGAATGTCATCAGCTCCGATGGTATTTTCGGTTTTGCCAGATTTTACTGCAAATTTTTATTTAACGATGAAAATTATTCTCTCTTCTATTCTCTATTAAAGTCGAGTATTCGAGTATTTAACAAATATTAAAGTATTCAACTAGTGAAGAAATTGTAAGTACATGATTTCAATGTGATGATCAAAAACCATGTTCTGTGCATACTTTTTGATGACGTTATCTACTGTTTCTACACCCAAGTCTTTATGAAGATTTTCATTTCTTATATACTATGGTGCATCAACGATACTACGAAGTACTTTATTCTGGAAGCGCTGGATGATGTTTCTATTGCTCTGTTTGGTGCAGCCCCAAAGTTGCACACCATAACTCCACACTGGCTTGAGGACTTGATTATATAACTGTGATGTGCTTGTTATACACTGTGAGAGCTGAGTTTCTACCCAATAGCCAGTACATCTTTCTGTACTTCAGATTCAGTTCTTCTTGACGTGTGGTTTCCATCTGAGTGTTGTATCGAGTGTTATGCCTAGATATTTAGCTGTATTCCCATATGGTATAATCTTGTCATTAATGTATACTGGTTTGTAGTTATTCGTTTGTTGGTGAAGTCGATATGGACCGATTTCTTTTCATTTAATTTGATAACGTTGAACCTCATCTATAGCTGCTTGGAGTTTTTCAGTAGATTGCATAGTGCTGTCGCCTATCGCTAGGATTGCAGTGTCATCGGCGAATGTAGCAACAACATTTTGATCAGCAACAGTAGCTTGACGTAATTCTTCTTCAACCCCACTCACACTGACATCATTAGAGCCTACTGGCAGATCCGATGTGTATAGTAGATAAAGTATTGGTCCCAATACACTGCCCTGTGGAACCCCTGCTTGAATTTCTTTTAGGTCAGAGTAAGCATTGTCTTGTCTGACTCTGAAGTACCTCTCAGTTACGTAAGATTTCAATATTTGTGAGTATTGAACCGGAAGCAACTTTTCAAGTTTATGGATCAAGCCTTCGTGCCAGACTTTATCGAAAGCTTGTGCAACATCCAGAAATATAGCTGAGCAAACTTTCTTGCTTGCTTGTAGAATATAAATAATTTATTTTATGAAAGTATACGAAGTGCATATAAAGATATTTGCCCGTTGTGAGTATTCGAATATTCGAGCTATGACTAGACATAATTATTCGCTTTTTGAATATTCGAATACTCGAATACTCGAATTATTCGAGTTTGATTCCGAGCCCTAGTGTAAATCCACTTTTTTTACTCGAACCCTTTTTGCGATTAACATTTAATGTTTGCTTGACCCGCTTAATAACGTTTGAGACGGTACTTCTATAAACTTTTACCTCTGTTACAATTTTTCGGTGAGTCCACGATGGACTTGCATGATAATTTGGAATTATTAATTCATGCACTTCTAATTCAGAGGTCATTTCTCTACTAAGACATATGTACAGTTCGACGTCTAATATGTCAAAATCATTTGGAGGTTCCCAGAAAGAGCCTTCTATGATTGGAATTTCGTTTTTTATTTTGTGAAGAGCTAGAACGGTTTTTGTGTATAGCGAACTCCGTCCTTAGGTTGTTAAAATTTCGAGCTTTAATGTGCACAAGCTAGTCGGTCTCTTGCAAACTCAGACTGGAAAGTTATTTTTGAAGCTTATATTTTAATAGGCATTAACTAGGTATGTTCATATTAAAAAGTATCCAATTTGACCAAGTAGGTACTTTATAAGTTATTTAATTTATATTACACTGTATAAATATATATTTTTTTGTAGATCAGGTTTGGTTATTGGAAAGAACTGTGTGAAAAGGAAACTTTTGAAGAAGGTGTTGCCCCCATTGCCGACTGCCACAATAAAAGGCAAATCTACAGTATTTATGAAGCAGAACGGTTCGGACAAAAAGGCAAATAATTGTGATATAAAGGTTGGGAAATCTGAAGCTACATCAGCGGACAATAAGTCAAACGGAAAGTCTTCAATGTTTATGAAGCAGAACAGCTCAGCCAAAAAGGCTAATAATATTGATATAAAGGTTGAGAAATCTGAAGTCACACCAGAACATAACAAAACTCAGGTACCCATATTATTTTGCAGCTTAAACGTTTGTAATGGAGTTTTCTATAAATCTTACAGTTAATTGTTACAATAATAATAATAATAATAATAAAGAACAACTTAACAAGCAGCGAACTGTAGCATGTTGCATTAATAGGAACTAGTAAAATATATTGTATCTCGTAAAATTTGAAGAAATCTGTGGTCGTCTATGTTTAGCTTCGTTATTAAGTCTTACATACTTTTTTAATACTTTTGGAATAAGTCCTAGAAACCAAACTACTTGCTGTAAATTGAAACTGTACTTGCTTTCTAAACAGAATATGAAATTATGCACAGCATAAATTTAATTAACGATTGAAGATTCGTATGTTGCTTACTTGCACATTTAACACGTTTTTAAAAACTCTTTAAATTAAAAAAAAAACGACACACTTAACTGTAATTTATATAAGAAGTGATATTGTGTAGGCAAACTACATAAATATGACTATTCTTAGTTTAATTTTTTTTTTGTACTAGGCGAATTCTAAGGGCAGTATTACAAGTCTTTTCAATAAGGCTGCTCAAGCTAATGCAGCCAAACAAAAGGCTACTGAGCCGAAAGCTCTGCAAAGGAATGATGGTTTATTAAATTCCGTTACAAAGCAAGCCACTAAAGAAATTGCACCTGAGACAGTTAAGCCCGAAGAATTAAAAGTAGACGTTGGCGAATGTAATTCAAATAAAACAATAAAAACTGAACATGGAAAGGTCCTGAAAAAGTCAGATTTATTTGATTCAGATACCGATGAGGAGATATTTAAAGATTTGGAAATTCATGATTCGAAACCTGTTAAAAGTGAAGTTAAACCCGGCCCAAAGAAAACATCAACATATCAAAAAAATAAAAAGCGACCAAGTACTAGTTGCAATGATAAATCAGCGAAAAAAAGGAGAAGAATCATTGTGGAGGAATCTGAAAGCGATGGTAATGTCTCAAACTTTTGAATTGACAAGTAAGCCGTAACTTACGTTTTAGATATGTTTGCATCAGATCAGTCAGAAAATGAAATGGAATCTGTGAATGACGAACCAGAACCGGAAAAAGATGTCAAGCCAATTTTACCCAAAAATAAACGGAGAAAATCGGTGAAGAAAACCTACGAAGATGATGAAGGTTTTATAGGTACATTTGTTGGCTTTATATTCGCTATGGTTTTTTAATTTTGGATTTTTATACGGCAAAGTGCAAGTAAATGAATGAAATCACGCACGTGCGATGGAAACATTCCAAACGGTTTGCGCACAATTAACATCTTCAAATTACATCGTAACCCTGTATAATTTTAGTTAGTAATCCTTTTGTACATTTACAAATTGAGCTTAATTCAGAAAATTTAATGGGGCTTGATCGTTGTGCAATCACTGCCAAATGACGATTATTTTGTTCTAAGTTTATTCGATCGGTATATTTATACTAAGAAAAAACAAACTTTAAAACTCATTATACAGGGTGTCCCACCGGGAACAGCCGCGATTGATATCTGGCAAACTATAGTTTGGAGATATTTGAAAATTGGACAGCGTGCCCAAGCGATATATTATTACCTACTATAACCACGCTATATATTATTACATTTTTGAAATCTATTCCAAATTCTGAATATATTTCATGTAGAATATCCTATACCTAAGTCTAACCGTTTTTGATATATCTGAAATTTTATGTAAAAGATGACAATTGTAGCCACTCCAATAATTATTCGTTTTTCCTATAAGGGAATATGTTGTATGAATAACTTAATTTAAGTCGCATTTCTTGTTGTCAAGGACTTACGTTAATGACATTTTGACAAAATTTTCATAACTATTAAAACAAAGTGTAAAAAAATAAGTTTTACAATGACGTTGAGAAAACCGTCCAAAATTTTTTTTCCAAATAAAAACACTCATTTTTGAAAATTTTATCTTATTCACTATTGAAAATAAGAGCAAATTTGTGTAAAGTTGCCTATTCCAAAAGTTTTGTGTCAGTTACCTTTTGAAAATAATTAATAATTATACCCGGAAGCTTAAATTATACAAAATATTATTTAAACTTATTTATTATTTACGGAGAATGTGATAAAATTATATCAAGAACATGTGACACATTTGCCATTCCAATATCCACAAAAACAGAAATCTTCACGCTGTGCTGTTAATCAAATTATACAAAATTTCAATAATTTTTAATACGTCTAAATAACAGTGCATATTCAATTTATAAGAGCAACCATAAAAATTAGAGACCCCTAGATATATATACAGGGTGTTCTTCTAGTCATTTTAGAGGGGGGTCTTCCTGAGAATTTGATATTTGATTTCCAAAATGGCGAAAAATAATAGTTTTTGCTGTTTTCCTCTAAAACGGTTAAACATAGAAACTTCAATTTTGGTATACATTATAAGCTAATTGAGTGCCATTTTATTATAGTGTTTCGTGGTTCAGTTTGCTTTTATACAAGGTAGAAATGTAGAACCCCTAGTTTTGTTTTGTTTAGATCTTTTTTGTGTGCACTCAAACTTTTCTCGCATAATTTTGTTAATCACTACAAGTTATTTACTAACTTTTTTATCTCTTATTGTTTTTTCCTAAGACCACTAGTTGGCCCTAAAAAAATAAAATGGTTTTCTTTGTCGTTCTCAAAATGTGTAAGTAATTAAGTTAATTTTTTTAAATCTAATAACGTTTTCATATAATAATTTTGGTATGCATTATTAGTTGATTATTAACAACCTAAACAATATGCGCAACGATATAAACAAACAAAATTAAAACTAAATAAAGATTCTAATGTTAACTTAGCAGCTGTTGGTCACCTTGACATTCTTGGCATAATCGCAGTCGTTTAATTAAATTAAACATTTACAGACCGTAAAGTTTCCACTGAAGTCCTTATTTTGTTAGAAATACTAATTATTCTTTCCTGAAGTTCTTCGATTGTATTCACTTCTGTTGAATACACCGTATTTTTTAAAGGGCCCCAGAATTAAAAATCAAGCACGTTTAGATCGGGAGATCTGGGAGGAGGAGCTTTTTGACCTCTTCCAATCCAACGGCTTGGAAAGTTTTGATCAAGCCAAAACGATTATTTTTTTTGCGGGCAAACTAGTGCCCTTAGGGAAAAACAATAAAGGATAAAAAGTTGATCAATAACTTGTAGTAATTAAAAAAAATATGTTGATAAAAGTTTGGGTGCACACAAAAAAGTTCTGAACCAAACAAAAGTAGGGGTTCCACATTTCTACCCTGTATGAAAGTAAACTAAACTACAAAACACTGCCATAGAATAGCACTCAATTAGCTTATAATGTGTACCAAAATTGAATGTTTAACCGTTTTAAAGAAAAACGACAAAAACTAATATTTTTCGCCATTTTGGAGATCAAATATCTCAAAAATGAGACCTCAAATTTAAAAAATTCTCAGGAAGACCCCCCTCTAAAATGACTGGGAGAACACGCAGTTAAAATACTTTAACATATTTACGGAACACCCTGTATATAAATAATCTTTATTTCCTACAGAAAACGGCTATCGACCCAATCGGTCTTTCTGCCCCTGTGTAGTACATATGTCGTAGCCTAGCTTATTCTAAAATTTGTTCCTATTCCTAACACTCGTATAAACTAATCAGCGATAAAAAAATAATTAAATAAAAAATTATTCGCTTACAAAACAAACAGATCTTAGTCCTAAGTTCAGTTGCGTTTGTAGATGTTTTAGAGTAAAGTATCTGTTGGGGAACGAAAACGGGAGTGTTTTGTCTGTCTTGTGAGGCAAAGAGGATTCAGTATGGTCCAGTTGTGGGGGTTAGTGTATTAGTCTCCGAAATTGTTGTCAGGTTTGTGCGTTCGTATAGTAGTTGGTTGGAAGGGTTGTGCAGGGGGCTCATTTCTGTTCTGATGTTTCGTGTGTGTTTAGTGAATTTCAGTTTGTGGTCGATTGTCATCCCAAGGTACCTTACGTCGTTTGGCCGTCTGTATTTATTGTGGGGGAGTCAGCGTTGAGTCTGTGGTTCGTGCGCAGAAGTTGATTTTTTTGTCGCGTTTGGCGTTAGCCTCCATTTATAAAACCACGTCATTGTGTTGTTTGTTAGTGTGTGGAGTCTTTCAGTGGCTTTTTCAGTAGTTTTGTCTTGTACAATAAGTGCCGTGTCGTCAGCGTATTGTAATATGTATGCCGTTCTGTCGATTTGACTTTTGTCTGGTAAGTTGTAACTGAAAGGCTGAGAGCGGGGATCCTTGAGGAAGCCCTTGTTCAGGGGAAAAAGCAAAGGAGAGTGTGTTGTCAATTCGTACTTGTAGTTGTCTGTTTTCTAATAAGTTTTTTATGGTGTGTAGTAGGTATGGTGGTGTGTGTGGAGTTTGTATAGTAAACCCCTATGCCAGACACTATCAAAAGCCTTGTTGATGTCCAGGAGTAGACATGCCGACTTTCCGTCAGTTAGGTGAGTTGTTTGTATGTTGTTGGTCAAAATAAATAGCGGATGAATAGTCGAGTGATATTGTTTGAAGCCAAATTGGTAAGTTGGTATATGTTTTCCGATCAGTTCTTCGAGTCTCTGTTTTAGTATGTGTTCCATAACTTTGCGCAGCACCGGGAGTAATGTAATAGGTCTGTAGTTTTCCATTTGTGTACGGTCTCGTTCATGTTTAGGTTTAGGAATTATTACACCACTTTTACATGTTTTCGGAATTTTGTTATTTGTGATGCAGTTGTTGATTTCAGTAAGGATGAGTTTGTGGGTTTATTGGGTTAAGCTTTTCAGGAGTTTTGCCTTTATTTTGTCTTTTCCCGGTGCTGTATTTTTGATATGTGATAGGGCTTCATCGTACTCTGTGTCTGTGATTAGTTTGTAAGTATAGTTTGGTGAGTTGTTAAAGTAGTTCAAGTACCAGTCATTGATCATGTTCCAGTTGTCATTGTCAAAGTTAGGGTTTGTCGATATGCTGAAGGCCTTTTGATAGTGTCTGGCGAATGCGTCAACTTTCTCTTTGTGTGTGTAACGTTCTATTACGTTTTGTCAATTGTGTCAGTAGTGTTAGTTTTCTTGTATTGTGCTCATTTCTTGATTTTTTGCCAATATGTTTTGCCCTTGTCTTTTTTTATTTTCTTACATGTTTCTAACCATTTGTCTTGTCGCTATTGTCCAATCAGAGTTTTAATGTTCCTGTTGAGTTGGTTCCGTGTCTTTTTTAGGTCGTTATTTTGGGTGTAAGTGTATAGTCTGTAAAGTTCTCTCTTATGTTTTATGAGTCTCAGTATGCGACCCCTAGATTTAAAGAAAAATGCTGGTTTGTGTTCATGATATAATAATAATTAATAATAAATAAACGGTTCTTGATATAACTGTATCACATTCTCCATAATACCATAGTAAATAAGTTTAAATAATCTCTGTTTGCATAATTTAAGCGACCGGGTATGAATGTTAATTGTTTTCAAAAGGTAACTGACAGCTGTAACCTTTCCTTTGACATTTGATTGTATTAAAAATTGTCACTGTAGTCATGGCAATTAAGAGTGACATGATTTAAGATAAGATGCGGCAAAATAGTCATATGAAACCATTAAATTGACAATAGTTCGAAAACTAAACACTTTTGGAATAGACAACTTTACACAAACTTACCCTTATTTTCAATACCGAATAAAATTAAATAATCACAAATGGGGCTATCATAGATTGTAAAAAAAGTCAGTATATAGTTGGACATAATGCGTTTTGATCCATCATTGTATATATAATGCGTGATGTTATACGTTATAATAAAAAATAAACAAGACAAAACCCAACTGAGCTACTTTTACATTTACTTCAAAATAAAACACATATAACCAAGGAACAAAAAATAACTTTAATGGAAAAACAAGACCTAAAAACAGTGCTTTCAACACAAAATTCTAAATTATGAATTAAATATGGTCAACTAGGTCTTCCGCTAGGCATTCGTAGAAGTTTTCTTCCTCGTTATGGTCTGGAGCTCCTTCTGGAATTTATGGCCCAACATTTAGGGCATGGTTAAAAATTTTAAAGATGATAACGTAATATTATCTTCCCAGTCGACCCCAAATCTTGCTTGGAGCAATTTTTTAACATCATTTTTTTAGCTTCTTTGATTAAAATCACAAGTGGGACGTCCGATGGCTCTTTATGTTTTTCACATTCCGACCACGCTTTACTATTGACATATTTACTTTTGATTCGTCGTCAAAATAATACGACGGTTCAAGTTTGATTTTTACATCAAAAGAGTCATTTTTTCTTTATCATCATATTAGCCCACTATAGCGTCCACTGTTGAACATAGGTCTCCCGAAAACTGTGCCACTGATGCCTATTCTGCGCGACCTGCATCCAGTTTGTTCGGATTCTCCTTAAGTCGTCCGTCCATCTCGTCGGTGGTCGTCCTCTCCTTCGATAGGCCTCACATCGTGGTCTCCATTCGATAATTTTTCTAGTCCATCGATCGTCTAGTTCTCGCAACGTGACCTGCCCAGTTCCATTTTAAAGAGGATATTTTCTTTACTACATCCGTAACTCCTGTCCTACGCCGTATATCTCTGTTATGTATTCTTTCCCTAAGTGATACCCCCAACATCGATCTTTCCAGTGCTACTTGTGTTGTTATTATTTTATTAATCGATTTCTTAGTTAGTGCGTTTTAAACATATGGGGAGTTCAGACTTGAATGATTCTCTGGGGTTGCCAACTGCTGCCCATGTCAAACCTATTCTCCTAGAGATTTCAGAGGTCTGATTATCCCGGCCTATTCGGATTTCGTGGCCCAAGTATTTATATGATGTCACTTGTTACTTCTGTTACTGTTGTACTTCATTATCACCTAAGGGCATATTGGTGGATACTACTAGATTAGTCATAAATTGAGTTTTTTATATGTTGATCTTTAGCCCAACTTGTCCGGATACCTGGTGGAGTTTTTCAAGAGATGCTCTGGCATTGTCAACACGGTCTGAGATTAAAACTATATCATCGGCGAACCTGAGGTGGTTGAGGTTTTCACCGTTGTCATTAATACCCATATCATCCCAGTCTATTCTTTTACACATGTATTGAAGTAATGTATTAAACAGTCTAGGTGAGCTGTGGCATAATTCGACACATTTTTCTATTAGAGATTTTATCACTTGTAGGTGATCGTTAGTATTATAGCCAGAATGAAAGCCAACCTGTTTACAGGGTTGGTAGCTGTCAAGTTTGTTGGTGAGCCTCTTTGTAATAACTGCCATGAATGGCTTGTATACGTGGGACAGTAGGCTTATTGGTCGATAATTCCTCAGATCTGTGACATCGCCTTTCTTGTGCATAATTATGATGATAGCATTTGTCCATTGAGAAGGTGTTGTACCCTTTAGTAGGCAGGCATTAAATAGTTTTTGGATTACATATAGCAAAGTTGATGCTCCTTCCTTGATATACTCAATTGTTATGTTATCATCGCCAGGCGATGTGTTATTCTTCATATTTTTGATAGCTGACTTAATCTCATCAATAGGCATCTCTGGGATATCTTCCGATCCCACGTTCTGGACTTTTGGTATTTGCTGTTGATTAAATGGTTCAGCTTGGTTTGAATATAGCTCTGAATAGAAATCCGTCACTACTATAAGCAATTCCTCCCTGCTCGTAACAATGTTCTCATGTTTATCTCCTAACTTCTGTTATGGTTCTTTTGCCCAAATTTAGTCTGCGTCGGAGTATCTTCATGCTTTTATTTTCTTCAATCGTTTTTTCTGATAGCTTTAGAGATGTCTTTATTTAGCTGTCTTAGAGAGGTATAGTTTGTTGTATATTTGCCCAACACTTCCCTTCTATACTTCATCATATTTAATGTGCTTGTACTCAATTTTTCTTGCCTTTTCCTAGTTTTACTAAAGTTTTCTTTTCTGGCTTCTTGTATCGTATGGATAATTTGTTTATTCAGGTCTTCCACGTTTATGTGTTCTTCATTCATGTTTTCAACATGTTGTAGATTAGACGTAACCATTGTTTCATAGGCATCTATATCATAAATGCGGTTCTGCTTAAGCTTTCGTGCTCCAGATATAATCTTTTCTTGTTCTTTCCTTGTGTTAATTACAATTTTTGTTCGAACTAGGCGATGGTCACTGCCTACGGTGAAATTGTTTAGTACGGTGACATCTTGTATTATATCCTTTCTATTTGATATTATAAAATCAATTTGGTTCTTCGTAACACCGTCGGGACTCAGCCAAGTTCACTTGCGCTGGTCACTCTTTTTAAAAAAGGAGATCATACATAGCAGTTTATGGTGTAACATTAAATGCAGAAGCATACCGCCCCTACCGTTTCTTTCTCCATAACCGTAGGGACCCAGAGCAAATTCACTATCGTCTAATTTGTGGCCTAATTTTGCATTAAAAGCGCCAAGAAGCATCGTATACTGTGCTTGGTCTTGTTGTATTGCTTTAGAGATATCTTCGTAAAAGTTGTCGACTTCATCGTCACTGTGAGTTGATGTTGGTGCACACACTGGGATAATTTTCATTTTGTTTCTTTTATTAATCTCTAGTAATAGATGTATAACCCTTGTTGAGATACTTTCGATTTTTAGTATACTGTTTTTGTGTGTTTTGTTGATGAAAAAGCCTACTCCCCCTTCTAGCATTTCTTCCTTTCCTCTGTAGTGGAACAGATGTCCTGATTTGAGCTCTATTTGGTTCTCTCCCTTGCGTCGAACTTCACTGATTCCTAAGACGTCCCATTTAATGTAACTTAGCTCTTCTTCTAGTTTCTGCATTTTTTGGTCGGTTGATAGTGTTCTTATATTATACGTGGCAATATGCATTTCCTCTTTTCCATGGTAGCTAGATCTATTATTGCTCTTAGCCTTGTCTGATTGCTACGTTATCAGGGACTATTAAGCCGCCTCGGACAACAATGGCTCTTAGTGTATTTTGTGTGTACATGATTTTTTTTTCTGTGGGGTTTATTTAGCCTGATACCCTACCACGCTGGCCATTCCGGGATGGTAGACGGATTACCTTTCCTTAATCCTCGGTTTAACAGTTATACCGCTGTAACTCGGTCGCTAGAGCCTCGTTAGTTTGGGTTAGTTTGGATATAAACAGGGAAAAAAATTAGCCAATAATGTACAAATAAAACTAAATAAAATAACATATTTTTGGTTTAAACAGAACTACATAAATGAAGAAACAAAACGAACACTGTACTGCAGTAAAGGCCAAGCACCAGTACTATACGGACTACTTAAACTTCATAGAAACCACATACCATTACGACCAATCGTCAACAATATAGGTACACCAACTTACAACTTATCACAGTTCCTTTCCACAATTCTAAAGAATGTCTTAGGACAGTCAGAATATCATATTAAGGACTCTTGGAATTTTTGTGAATTTATCTAAAACCAAAAAATACCACAAAATCACTGTTTAGTATCGCTTGATGTAACATCATTATATACCAATATCCCAATTGAATATGCAAGCAAATGTATGAGAAATAAATGGAAGGAAATCGAACAACATACAACAATTCCAGAAAAATAATTTATTGAAGCGGTAAATCTATGCCTAAAATCTACATATTTCAAGTTTGAAACCAAATATTATTCACAAATATACGGTGTAGCAATGGGTTCCCCCATATCAGCGACAATTGCAAACCTTGTTATGAAAAGCTTGAAAAAAAAACATAATAACAAGCCTATATCAACCCACTTTCTTTAAGCGCTATGATTACTTAATGTGTTTACCCAAAGATAAAGTTCAATATATCCTAGATACATTCAACAATTTTCACGACACTATAAATAATGAGGAACAAAAAAACAATACATATATATCACTACCATATATTCCAGAAATCAATACTTACATACATTACAAATACAATTATTTATGCAGCTTAACAAAAAGATAAAAACGTTAATAGGTGAACTAAACTCGAACGACTAACGGCAGAATTTCAAAAATTGGGTTATTTGCACGATGTCCAGCGACACCTCCTGGTGGTAAAGTACCATAATGCGTTATGATATGACAACTCTTCCGGACATAATCCGTTTCGATGTGAATATCATATTTGGCACTCAAATTAGATAGGAATATAACGCTATTTGGTTTATTCTGGGTTTACAGATCCATAGAAGAAGTGGAAATACATACAAAATCGCAACAAAACGAATTTTGTCCTCAAGTGGACATAATGCGCTTTGACAAGTGGCTCCTCAATTATTCGAATAGCTGCAACTGTCATTTTTTACATAAAATTTGAAATATATCAAAAACGGTTAGACTTAGGTATAGAATATTATACATGAAAGATATTTATAATCTGGAGTACAATTCAATAATGTAATAATATATAGAGTTGATACCTACTTCCGGTATAACCGGAAGTGTGGCCATCTTAAAAATATTTTAGGCCTCTTGCCCCCAATGACTTTGGCACACTATCCAATTTTCTAGCTAAAATCAAATTTCACGCATTACAAAACATGTTTTGTTGTTAACTGCATAAGTCTGTAAAATGTCATTAAAATATTTCAAGCGGTTTTCGCAATATGAATAAATTACATTTTGTTATTAAAACGTTATCACCCTGTAGGGCGGAAAATAAGCATTTTCGGAACATGGGCTATTATCGAAATATATCCAAAATTTCTTGCACTATTACCTCTGCAAGGTATGCATCTACTTATCAAACACCCTGTATATTTTAACACTCTAAAGTTAATACTGATGTCGCGTTTTTGTATCCATTAACGGTACACTATTTGTATAATAACATGACATTTTTATGGAAAATTATTTGTGTTTTCTGATTCCCCTGTCGTCCATGTTATTTTGAAAACTATTTTTAATTTCTTAACAATTCTGCATTTTTTAGCTGACTGATTTGTACTTGCAAAGGAAGTAAAATAATATTAAATTGTTTGTACCAGCGGTTAAAGGACCTGCTTCTATATTGTAGCATTTTTGTATTCTAGTGACTCAAACCGAGTACGTATACGAAACAGCATCAGAGGACGAAAATGACCCAAACAATAAAATTCCTCGACCAGAAGAAAAGCCTCTAAAAAATAAAACCGAGGAAAAAGTTGTTAATAAATCTGAAAAGGAAATTAGCCCGAATAAGGCTGCCAAAGGAAAGAAATCTACCAAAAAAATTCCTGCAGCAAATCAATCCACTCTCACTAGTTTCTTTAAAAGGAAGTAAGTGTCATGTGTTTAGAAACAATTAATATATTATTGCAGAAATAAATGTGTTTTGCTTTAATACACATTTCAAAAGCTAAGGAATTATTTTTCCAACCCGTGGAAGAACCCACAAGCGTATCGACCGTATTCATTTAACTGTATGCATTAACTTACCTCAATAGGACACCGAAGCAATGAACCATGCTTTAATTTTTAATACTTTAATTTTTAAAAGTACGTATAAACGGTTTGGAAATAAATACGTACCAGCGGAGAAGGAGGTAATAAACGACCGATTCTTAGCTTAGATAAAGACAAATACATGAATTCTTAGGTGTCTGTCTCTGTTAAAACCAAAGGTTGGTACGAGTTCCGCCACAATAGTATACAGGGTGATTCACGGTCGATGGCGTATTAAACGTTTAAGGAGAATCATAGATAAAGACGAGTATAGATTACCAACTCTCTAGCACAATGTGGAAACAATGTCTATCCTACCGCCATCTATTATGAACCTAGACACAACTGCGCCACGTCCTTTTTGCGGGGTTTGCGTCTCTACTACTACTGTTCAGGGTTTGCATCCTTGCTATTGTCGGCCTACCCATTACTTAAATTGGAATTAAGATATGTTTAATATTCAGTTTGATATATTTGTACAGAGGCAAGACTTGTTTCTGATTTATAAACAAATTTATCAAATTGAAAATAAACATGCTCCTAATCTCAATTAAAGTACTGGGTAGTGATTGGTGTTTGGATATGTTGATAATAAAAACTTCATAAGCATTTTCWAMTTTTTATTGCAGTYAATAAATAGGCGAAACGCCAAGTACCATTAATTTGTGAAAAGTGTTTTATACAAACAACAAACCTTTGATCAAAAAGCAAAATGAGCACGTTATGAATCAAGGCTTAAGAAAATAAACAAATAATT